AACTGGAGATGCCGCTGGGGATTGAAGCTGGGACCTTCCGCATGCCAAGCAGAGGCTCTTCCACTGAGCCACGGCCCCTCTTCACAGTACTCCAGGGTCTCAGGCAGAGGCCTTTCCCATCACCTCCTCCCTGGTCCTTTCAACTGGAGATGCCGCTGGGGATTGAACCTGGGACCTTCTGCATGCCAAGCAGAGGCTCTTCCACTGAGCCACAGCCCCTCTTTACAGCTCTCCAGGGTCTCACGCGGAGGTCTTTCCCATCACCTCCTCCCTGGTCCCTTTTTAACTGGAGATGCCGCTGGGGATTGAAGCTGGGACCTTCCGCATGCCAAGCAGATGCTCTGCCACTGAGCCACGGCCCCTCTTCACAGCTCTCCAGGGTCTCACGCGGAGGTCTTTCCCATCACCTCCTCCCTGGTCCCTTTTTAACTGGAGATGCCGCTGGGGATTGAAGCTGGGACCTTCCGCATGCCAAGCAGAGGCTCTTCCACTGAGCCACAGCCCCTCTTTACAGCTCTCCAGGGTCTCAGGTGGAGGTCTTTCCCATCACCTCCTGCCTGGTCCTTCAGAGGCTCTGCCACTGAGCCACAACCCCACCCTCCCCAGACCTCAAATCTCCAGGTATTTCCCAACCCAAAGCTGGCCACTGTGGTCCGCTCATCACAGTCAGTGTCTAGCAGTGCTCCCTCTGAGCTGAGTCAGTGTGAGCCAGCTCACAGTTTGTGTCTCAGCTCAGAAAGGAGGGCTCCAGAGCAAACTAATCTATGCAGCCGCCAAATCCCTCGCTCACACAACTCTAATGCCAGGAGCTCACAAGGTAGGATTTTTGTTCACAGGACTCCACAGCTCAGAGGGGGCCTTGGTGTCGAGAGAGGCCAACCGCTGGGGCTGAGTGGGGAGAATGCTTGTTCACCTGGTGCCAGTTCTGGGTGGACTCATTCACCTTCCGCACAGATCCGGGCTGGAGTTTGTTGATGAGTCTGAAACAACAGAAACAGGGCGGAAAGTTTATTCCCAAGTATCTTGGGCTGTGCACCGTACCGGCAAATAGTTTCCCATGTCACGCTTTCCTACAGAAGGTGTAGCTTTTCCGGCCTGTATTCTTGCATGATTTGTTTGTTTCCTGCATTTATACCTTGCCTTAAGAGTGGCACATGCTCTGAAGGTGGAATGGCTGCTCATGGAGTACAGCTACAGCATTGTCCCCTCTAAGCTGAGGTAGTGTGAGCTAGCTCACAGTTTTTTAGCCTCCGGCTCACATATTTTTGTCTTAGCTCAGGAAATAGGGCTCCAATGCTCCCTCTAAGCTGTGGAGTCCTGTGAGCAAAAATTCTACTTGGTGAACCACTGGCATTAAAGTTGTGAGCGAGAGATTTGGCTACTGCATAAATTAGTTTGCTCTGGAGCCCTCCTTCCTGAGCGAAGGCAAAAAATGTGTGATATCTGGAGGTCTACTGGCAGGGCCAGAACTTCAGAAGCCCTCCCACTGTCCCCCCCCCCAGCACCAAGAAGACAGAGCTTCACCGCCCCAGACATAAGAACATCACAGAAGCCAATGTTGGATCAGGCCAATGGCCCCTCCAGTCCAACACTCTGAGTCACACACTGGCCAAAAACACCAGCTGCCATCAGGAGGTCCAGCAGGAGGTCCCTGAAAATCTATGTTCCCTCTAGCATCATGCTCCTCCTCCTCCTCCTCATGCATGGCACCCTGTGGAGGTCCTGCCACGTGAGCTGTGGGCCTTGGGAAAGGGCACCCCCCCCGAGCTTCTCCCTTCCTCAGGCGGGTTTGCCCTGGCCAGAGAGAGAATGCAGGGCGTCAAGATGCAGCCTCATCCTCTTCAGAAAGCACCCAGCTGCAGGGTCGCCCGCTTGGAGTTGGGAAATTCCTGGAGATTTGGGGGTGGAACCTGGAGAAGGCGGGGTTTGGAGAGGGGAGGGGCCTGAGCAGGTCTACACCCCGGAACGGCCCATGTTTTCTCCCGGGGGACTCTGGTCTCTGTCTGGTCTGGACGTCATCAGTGGTGACAGCGGGAGCTCTCCCGGCCCCACGGCCAGGCCGGCAACCCTGCAACGTCTCGCTGGGTGCCAGGCCAGGGCCTCGGCTAGTTCCTTTGCCCCACCGCCTCCCGGGGACCAGAGCAGGCCGGGCTCCTTACTCGCAGAGGATGACTCCGTCCTTCAAGCTCTCCATGAAGCTTTCTCCGATGCGCTTCCCAGTCGTCTCCTCGATCCACTGCCGCAGCTCCTGCTCCCGCTGGGGGTCGTACTTCTGCGCCAGCTGTGGGGGGGAACAAAGGACATTTTGGAACTGGGTGCAGGCTGTGAGGTAGGTGGGGCTGAGCGAGCTCTCTTGAGAACTGCCCTGGAGAGAACAGCTCTGAGAGAACTTGTGACTGACCCAGGGTCACCCAGCTGGCTGCATGTGGAGGAAGAGTGGGGAATCAAACCCGGTTCTCCCAGATTAGAGTCAGCGCTCCTAACCACGACACCAAACTGGCTCCTGAGAATTGGGGGGTGGAGCCTGAGGAGGGCGGGGCTTGGGGGAAGGGAGGGGCTTAAACAGGGTATAAATGCCATTAGAGGCCACCTTCCAAAGCGGCCAGGTGAACTCATATCGATCGCCTGGAGGTCAGTTCTAATAGCAAGAGATCTCTAGCCATTATCTGGAGGTTGGCAACCCGACACACAAAGTCCTTGGGCTGGATCCAACCCATAGCATGCAAATTCACTTACTGTGCAATAAACGTTGTCCTCTGATGCTTCATTCTAAATCTAATATTGGGGGGGGGGAGTTAAATGCCGATCTGTAAAACCCTGCCCAAGCCCACTCACGCAACAAACTGTATTAAGGCAGTGATAAAAGTAACAGGCTGTCAGTCCCAGGCAGTGTTCCCTCTAAGCTGAGTTTGTGTGAAGTAGCTCACCGTTTTTCAGCCTCTGGCTCACACAATTTTGTCTCAGCTCCCCTCCCCCCTCCCATTAAAAAAACCCAAAAAAAGCACTTTCAAGGGGGGGAGGAAGAGTGGTTTTGAGCACTATGCAGAACATCAGGTACACTGAATGTATGCATTAGGAATGTCTTCTAGGATGTACTGGAGTCCTGTGTCCAGTTTGGGGCACCACGTTTTAGGAAGGGAAGGTGTTGACAAGCTCAAGCGTGTCCCGAAGAGGGCAACCAGGATGGCGAGAGGGTTGGAATCCAAGTCTCAGGAGGAAAGGCTGAAAGAGTTGGGTCTGTGTAGCCTGGGAAAGAGAAGGCTTAGCGGGGACGCGATTGCAGTCTCCAAGTATCTGAAGGCCTGTCGTGTAGAAGATGGAGTGGATCTATTCTCTCTTGCTCCGGATGGCAAGACCAGATCAAATGGGTGGGAATGACAAGGGAGTCATTGCCGACTGAATATCAGGAGAGACTTCCTAACTGTCAGAGTGGTTGAGCAGTGGAACAGTCTGCCTCGGGAGGGGGTGGATGCTCCTTCGCTGGACATTTGCAAGCGGAGGCTGGATGACCATCTTCCGGGTATGTTGTATGGCTATCTTTAGGCTGTGCTCCTGCAGAGTGCGGGGGGCTGGACTAGATGACCTGCGAGGTCCCTTCCAACTCTGACATTCTATGATTCTATGATGTGTCCCCTGAGTTCAACAGCTTGGGCTCCAAAGGGTAGAGCAGTCCTTCCCCCGGGACAAAGAACGGTTGAAGCAGCTCTTGCATCGAAGGCTGCAATCCTGCGCATACCTACTTCTGTGCTGACCAGTGTTCCCTCTAAGATGAGTTAGTGTGAGCTAGCTCACAGTTTTTTAGCCTCCGGCTCACACATTTTTGTCTTAGCTCAGGAAGGATGGCTCCAGAGCAAACTAATTTATGCAGTAGCCAAGTTGCTTGCTCACAACTTTAATGTCAGCAGCTCACAAAGTAGAGTTTTTCCTCACAAGACTCCACAGCTTAGAGGGAAAATTGGCATGCACACTTTTAGACAGGGACTTGGGGGGGGGGGTGCACGAAGAGGTGCTGGAACTCTCGATCTGTATACTGAATATACTGAAAACTCACACACTTTTAAACATTTTTTAAAAGGATTTTGTCGAAAAGTTTCCAGAACTCTGTTCCAGTGCGTTCCCCCAGGAAAAAACGCCCTGCTTTTAGAGAAGAAGATGGCTATAGTTAGTGCGCTGCTTCCGAAGCCACTGCATAGCACCGTACAGAAAACAGAGGCATGGGGAGGAAAGTGGCATAGAAAAGCCCCCCCCCAATACATAAAGCAATAAATACATGGAGGGCCCGCGCAGTCCCCCCACCCTTGGTGTTGAGGTTAGGGAAGCACGAGGGCCCGTGTTTTGACTCTGGGAAAGGCTGACAGATGAGTCGGGGCTGGAAACCAGTCCCCGCGGGGAGCTGCAGGTCACCTTACTTGGTGCTCGGGGGCTCTGTGGTGGCACTGGGAAAAGCGGTCTGGGCACCGGCCTGCCTCTTTATTTGGACATGTGCTCCCCGCCCGGGTCTTGGCACTCCTTGTATGGACCTTTTCAGCCCCTGAAGGAGCCGGCATCCCGGGCCCTCCTGGGAAACCTCTGCGTGGCAGAGAGTTGTTTAGGGACGGCTGCCATGTTCCAAATCCCCGCTGGTATTTCTGCCTGGCCTGCCTGCCTGCCAAAGAGGACCAGCAATGGAAACTTTCAGACCGGGCTGTAGAGTTGCCAGCCTCCAGGTGGGGCCTGGAGCTCTCTTGGAATTACAACTGACCTCCGGGCTACAGAGATCGGTTCCCCCGGAGAAAACGGCTGCTGCGGAGGGTGGGCTCCTCCGTGGCATTATTCTCCGCTGGGGTCTCTTCCCTCCCTCCCTCCCTCCCCAGGCTCCATCCCGAAATCTCCCGGGATTTCTCCGCCCTGGGCTGCTGGACAGACGGTGACAATCACTTCTCTCGTTTTTACCCTGTCCTCAGTGCATCTGTTTCTCCCGGTCTTCCTTTTAGCCTCACAACAGTCCTGTGAGGTAGGTCTGGCCAGGAGAAAGTGACTCACCTGAGGCTTCGTGCCTAAGTTGGGACTTGAACCAGAGCTCCCCAGTCCTACTAAGGAGGAGGAGGACTGTGGGACCGTGGGCCAGAAACGAAAGGAACCAGAACCAAGTTGGGTCGTGCTGAAGAGAGGGACAAAAAGTTGAAGTTTAGCTGCTGTAGATATTCTGGGCTGTCTGGCCTGATGTTTCGCCAGCAGCTGTGGGCCTGGTAGGGCCTGATGTTTCACCAGCAGCTGTGACTGGCATCCTCAGAGGTATAACACAGAAAGATGGAGCACTCTCTGTGTCAAGGTGAGAAGAAAAATGGTAGGCAAGTAATTTATATCTACTCAGGAAGGTGGGGGAGTAGGGCTGAGTCATTATCTGTGAACAAGCTAATGGAGGAGCTTTCCTGAGGAGGTCCTTTTGTATATGGATTGGCTGTTTCCTGAGGAGGTTCTTTTGCATACGGACTGTTTCCTGAGGAGGTTTCCTGTTTCCTGAGGAGGTTCTTTTGTATGTAGATTGGCTGTTGAAATTCTAATCTTATCTGTAGTGCTATGGTCAGATGTAGAGCCTTCTGTGTTTTTTCAGGACAGGAAACCATGCCCTATTTATTGTTAAACTCTCTTCTTTCCTGTTGAAATCTTGTTTATGTTGATGGATTTCAATGGCTTCCCTGTGTCATCTGACATGGTGATTGGAAGTGTATAAAAACATAAACAAGAAGACGAAGAAGAAAAGGAGACCGGATTTATACCCCCCCGCCCTTCACTCGGAGTCTCAGAGCGGCTTCCAAACTCCTTTCCCTTCCCCTCCCCACAACAGACACCTTGTGAGCAATGCTCCCTCTAAGCTGTAGAGTCCTATGAGCAAAAATTCTACTTTGTGAGCTACCGGCATTTAAGTTGTGAGCAAGCGATTTGGCTACTGCATAAATTAGTTTGTTCTGGAGCCATCCCTTCCCGAGCTAAGGCAAAAATGGGTGAGCCGGAGGCTAAGAAACTGTGAGCTAGCTCACGCTAACTCAGCTTAGAGGGAACACTGCCTGTGAGGCAGGTGGGGCTGAGAGAGCTCTTTCTCAAGGACAGCTCTTGTCAGAACTACGGCTTACCCAAGGTCACACCAGCAGGTGCAAGTGGAGGAGCGGGGAATCAAACCCGGTTCTCCCAGATCAGAGTCCGCGCACTTAACTGCGACGCCAAACAGGGGGGTGGTTTGCCACTGGCTGCCTCTGGGGGGAGACTCTGGGCTTCCTGGGTGGTCTCCCATCCAACCCTGCTGGGCTTCTGAGACCTGACAAGCCCAGGCTAGGCTGGGACATTCAGATCCGGGCAGGCAGAGATCAGGGGCCTTCTAAACTGGAGCTGCGCTGGACACTTTGGTTCCTTCTGCAAATAAGCTTAATCCTGTCCTTGGCTCAGTCCCGGCATTGGACTGCATCTCATCCCAGGGGGTGTGTTGGAAGAGTCGGGATGCTTTGACGGAAGGGCCTCGGTCTGCCTGGCCAGTCACAGCCAAAGTATGTGGTCATAAGTCGGCTGACTGGTCGCTCGTGTGCTGCAACTCTGTGGAAATGCAACTTGACATCCTGGAATTTGGCACAAGACCAGACTCCAGGAGACCTCCTGTTGCTGGACTCTTGGCTCTTTATACCGTCCTGACTGCTGAAGGGACTCTAAAGTGCTGGAGAATCTGCACCTGCTGACAAGGCTAACATCAGACGCTGCCTCTGCTTCCCCAGGGGGAAAAGCGGGCAGCTCACAGACGAAAGAGGATCTCTGCATGGTGCCACATGAACTCCTGGGGCTTTCCCCTTTGACCTGAAAGAGAGCCAAACCTGCCTGGCTGCTTCCACACAGGGGTCCAGCCCGCGCTGCCTTTCTTTGATTGCGACGACGAGGGCAGAGGCATGTACTCCTCGTGGCTGGCGGTCCCACACGGGAGAGAGCATTCTCTCTCTTTGCTCTGACTCTCCCTTCTCCAGGCGCTCTGTAGTAACCATGCATGAGCTCATGGGGGCACGGTCACCACAGCCGCCCTGGCTTGTTTTCATTCTTCACACGAGTGCATTGTAATGGTTTTCTATTAAAATTTGAAATAGGCAAGCGGCAATAGATTGTTCTAGCACACTAAATACCTCTTCGAAAAATTGTTTACAGTCCTTTCTCTCCCCCCTCACACATTTTTTTGGTTCTGGCAAGAAAAGTATAAAGCAACTGCCACACCACCTAGAACTGTACCCGTTCACAGCAAAATATGTAGATTCTACTCTCTTCGTA